CATCAGAAAATAGGTAAAGGTCAAAATGCTCACAGACACTTTAGGGCAAGGTCTCCCGGAGCGGCTTCCAACGGTGCCGAGCACAGCGGGCTCAGTGTGCCCGAGGCGAGGGGAGCAGCGTGAGGGCGGCTAACAGCAATGTGCTTCTCACTGCAGCGCTTCTTCCTTCAGTCTCACAGACACTTGGTATTTTGCGTTTTTAAAATTACAGCTGTCTTACTGAGTATAAAGTGGGGTCTCGGGGCTGGGGATTTAGCTCAGGGGGCTGGGGATTTAGCTCAGTGGCAAAAGCGCCTGCCTGGCAAGCGCAAGGTCGTGAGTTCGGTTCCCGGTACCGGAGAAAAACCAAAAAAAAAAAAAAAAAAAAAACAACAACAAAAAAAAGTGGGGTCTCACTGTAGTTCTGATGTGCAGTTCCCTAACAGTCAATGACATTTAGCATCTTTTTGTGCACTGACTGGCCATTTGTAGTTCTTTGTGGAATTCATGATCCAAATCCTTTGCTTGTTTTTTATTTGGGCTGATCGTCTTTTTGCGGTTGAACTGTGGGAATTATTATATATTATGAACACAATACTCTAATAGAGTAAGACTTGCGAGTACTCTCTCTCTCCTGTAAGTTCCTTGCACTGCCTTGGCAGTCTCCTCTGATGCCCAAAAGGTTTTTACGATGCTTTCCAATTCATCCTTTTTCCTTTGACATATGTGCTTTTTAATATTGCTTATGAAACCACTGTCAAACACAAGATCATGAAGATGTGTCCTTACATGTTCTTTGAAGAGTTCCTAATTTTAGGAAAATAGATGTTGAGGATTTTTCATCTGTATTTTCTAATTTTAGGACAATAGATGTTGAGGATTTTTCATCTGTATTTCCTAATTTTAGGACAATAGATGTTGAGGATTTTTCATCTGTATTTACGTATTTTCATCTGTATCTGTATTTGTGTTTTCATATGTATTTTCATCTGTACTGGAAATCGGTCGGCAGCTTTCCTGCGATGCCTTCTCTAGTGCTGGCAGTGCCAGCCTCATCATAAAGTGGAAAGGAGTCCCTCCTTTTCCGTTTCTTCTCTCATTTGAGAAAGACGAGTGGTAATTCTCCAAATGTTTGGTGGAATTTATTAGTGAAGCATTTTGCTCCAGGTTTTTCCTTGGGCTCTGAAGTTTGTGATTATTGATTAAATTCTTGTCTTGACTTGTTATAGGTCTATTCAGATTTTCTTTTTTTACTGTATTTCTGGGCATTTTTCCATTTTATATGGTGTATCTCATTTGCTGGTATGTAACTGTTTAAAGCATTGTTCTAGAATCCCTTTTATTTCCATAAGGTCGGTCACTGTTATGGCTTAGAAGACTCCCCAAAGCCTCATGCGCTCAGGGTGGGCTTTTCAGAGCTGGCCGGGGTGTATGGTAGTGGGCTTAAGGGGCGAAGGGTGTGTGGCACTGAGGGGAATTAGCACAGTTCTGGGTGCGGGCGGCACCACGCCAAAAGCTTGCAGCCCGGATGGAGTAAAAGGGAAACGAGGCTGGAGGGCCGGAGGGCTCGCTGTGTTGCTTTGGTGAGGCTCCAGTCTTCACCTTCACGTCATCTCCTGGCTTCCAGCGCAGACTCCTCGGCCTCCGGCAGAGCCTGCGGCCTTCTGGCGCAGATGCTTTGGCCTCCTGCTAGGGACTCGCACGGAACTCCACAGGGAGCCCCAGCCTTTCACCTCTCACTGGACCCTTTGGCTCTCCAGTGCACACAGGGACCTTCTGCCTTCTTCCACACTTGATTCTACAGGTGGCTGCCGTGACTCTACCTTGTAAACCCTTGCATACTTGTATAACTTGCATCAAGTCTTTCTCTAGTGAGCAATGACTGATACAGCAGTAATGTTCTCTCTTCTGATTTTACTAGGCAGACCATGCTGTCCTTTTCCTTTCTAGCTAATACTTTGTCAATTTTGCAGATCTTTTCTCAGAACAAAGCTATTTTTATTGCGCTTATCTCTTCTCTGATCTTTACTTTCTTTGACAGTGTTGGGTTTAGCTTGCTATTGTTTTCTTTTCTAGTTTCTCACGGTGTAACTTAGGAAACTGATTTGAGTGCTTTCCTCTTTTCTAATGTAGGTTGTGGGTGCCCACAGACAAAAATTTCCTTCTGAGCAATGTTTTTGCTCCATCTTTTCAGGTTTGTATATTATATTTTGTTCTTATTCATCACAGGACATTTTCTAGTTTCTCTCATAATTTATTCTTTGGTTTTTCTCCGGTACCGGGAACCGAACTCACGACCTTGTGCTTGCCAGGCAGGCGCTTTTGCTGCTGAGCTAAATCCCCAGCCCCATAATTTATTCTTTGACTTATTGGATAACAGGGCAAAATTTAATATCTATCAATTTGTAGCTTTTCCAGTATTTCCTGATTTCTAGTTTTATTTCATTGTAGTCTTGGAAGATACTTCGCATGATTTCAATTTTTCTAAATCTATTGGTTATTTGTGTTGAGGGTTAACGTATGGTTTACTCTGGAGAAAATTCCATATTCTCTTGAGATGACTGTCTACTGTGCTGATTGGAAACGTCTGGAGTGTTTTGTGTATGTCTAGTGTGATTGTTTTGTAGTTTTGTGCAAGTTCTCTTTTGTTTACTGCCCTTCTATCTAGTTATTCTGCTTCACGTATTTTGTAAAAGCACAGTATGACCTGCATGCATACAGAACTGCTCTCAAGGTGACAGAGGCTCTGATGAGGTGGGACAGGGATCTCACTGATGTCCCTGTACACCAGCACATAGACTGAGTACGGCTGGTGCAACTTTCGTAAGGTGCCAAGTCCCTTGCGGGATGCATACAGCCCCGACAGTACAGTTCCCATGTGCTCTCCTTGAAGCCTGGCAACTCTACCCCTTGAGGGTCGTGCATTCAGTGTTCTACTTTAGTATAGCCCTCTTTCCTTTATTGCTGTGAAAGCACAGGACACTTACTATTCTTCCCCTATTTTTAAAACCCCATCTCTGTTGCTTAGCTTTTGGCCTAGGAGGATTGGCTTTCACATCAAGGTTGCGGTTTACTTCCGCCTGGTGACTTTTAGCTCCCCAGTTAGAGCTATCATGATGTTGTGTATCAACTTCAAAATCCAACAGGGGCTTACAGAAATATACATCAGCTTTCTGCTTTCTGGGAAGTATCTCACAATGCTGGATGGCCCACCCCTGCCCCATGCGCTCACACTCTGGGGCCGGGCCAGAGGGGCATGCGCACCCTGTCATGCAGATGACAGCGCATGAGGTCAAGTCACACCAGGTGGAGAGGCACAGCTTGTGCTTGGGTCACACCCGCTACCACGCGTCAAAAGCTGAGGTCAGTGGGACGAAATTCCCGCTCCATGGGGGCGGGGGAGACAGGAGCATGGAGAGCTGCCTCAGGGGACACTCTCAGCCACAGCGCAGCAGACTGAGGTGCTCAGGGGTGCTGTACGGAGTTTGTCCGAAAAGCTAAACTTATTTAAAGGACTTTCTCTCAAGTCAAACCCTTTCTATCTTAGAAGTAACAGTCCTTTCTTTGTAAAATGATAAATGGCAGTAAGACTTTAAAAAATGTAGGAAACCCAGTGTCAGTCCCCAAAATTTTTTGGAGAATGTTACTAGCTTAAAAAAAAAAGTCAAGTCTACCAGAAAAGAATAAAACCCACAGATCACTTGAATCTCCTCACTCTCACTGGCTATTCACTTGTCACAGGTTGTTCCCGGGCTCGCAACAACATCCATCCCAACCCCTTCAGGCTTTCATTACTCCAAATGCGTGAGGTGTGGAAAGTTTTTGCTTTGGAGAACTGAAATGCCAGTATTTATTCCTACTGATCTGACTGCCTTGAAAATGGTCCATTTATTCTTCAGGACTCTACACAGACTTGGCTTTGTAAACACACGGGGCCCTAGAATCTTGGTATCATGTAAGTCTTTCATGTCTCTCACAGGAAAATTTTAACAGACAGCTCATAAAGAACAACTCCAACTTTAAAAAGGTGAGCTATATAAATAAGATCAAAATTCTAAACAGTAGCTGGCAGCTCCACTTCCAATGTGAAGCAACAGAGATTCAATAGTCCTATAGGCTATCTATACAAGCATAAGTAAACCCTGATGATTTTAACATAGCTTTGTCAAACCTTTAAACTACACAAAACAGCAGACAGGATTCTTTTTGCTCGCAGTATTACTGAAGGAAATGAAGCAAGTGTCATTCCTCTGAGCCCTGACTCATCTCACGCCTTGCTGAAGCTCCTTCCCTCTCTCCTCTTGCTGCCCTTGTTCTTTACCTGTGATGTTCTCTAGCTTGAGGTGCGATCAAAACGCTACTGGGGCCTCACCCGTTCTACGCGGGGTGGTGCAGAGGACAGGACATGGAAGTGCACCTACCGGGGGCCTGACTGGAGCTCTCAGACCATCAGAGCTACACTTCCCACTCATCTTACATTCCTGATCAAACACTCACTTTTTTTTTGTCTTTTTGAGACAGGGTCTCCCTATGCAGTTCAGGCTGGCCTTGACCTCACTTTGTAGCCCAGGCTGGCCTCGAACTCACAACAATCCTCCTGACTCAGCCTCCCAAGTGCTGGGATTACACGCCTGCGCCACGCCTGGCCAAACACTCCCTTACAGAGGACCTGGGAAGCAACTTCAGAACATGGCTGTGGCCTTTCACTATGCTCCTGACCTTGCCCAGTATTGGAGAATCTGATCCAGTATATGCTCACGTTTTATACATCTGCCCCTCTAAAGTGAGAGGCAGACAGAGTCTCGAGAATCAGCAAGAGGAGATTCCATTACCCGGGCTGTGAACTTAATTCACGGATTTCGAAGTTCATGTTTGTACCTTACCTACACTTTTAAATAAAATATGCTTCTTTTACAACATTTTGGGCACTTTATATAGAAGCTGTACTCTCTCTAATTTAAAAAATACAATTCTTATTAAAATAAAATTTCAAAAATATGGTTGTGACCTAAGCAGCATACCTGCAGGTATGGTCGTCACTCACGCTTGCGATTTCCTGGCCTTCTCTGGGGTCAAACGCCAAGCTATTAATGAAGTCTGAGTGGCCCTCTAAAACCTGGCGGAAAGGACAAAGTAAGAGGACAGAAAAATAACGGACAATATTCCCACCTAGTGTTGTTACTTTTCAGCCTCAAAAGCTTTTCCTGCATGCTTCCTTTTCTATAAACATTTCTGAAGCAATCTGCTATTTTTAAGTTGTGATTTCCATACCCACTTTTCTGGAAAGTTTATCTTGGAAGGAAGTTGATCACCCAACATACCGCTATTAGCCCGGCCTTGCTTTTCTAGTGTGTGCTGCTTACAAAACCGCGAACACTTTTTCTACTCTACCTGTCCTCACATCACCTCCTCTCTCCCTCATTACACAGAGCTTAAGCAAAAACTAACGCAACCTTTGCAGGACACTCAGGCAGTCGTCCCCCTAGGCTTTGAACCTGCATCTGCTGCTCTGCACCTTGACACCCTCACCCACGTAAAAGGAACCTCACCTCCCAACATCCTCGTTCACTCGTGCAGTGTGACTGTCAGCACCAGCGACAGCCAGTGACACAAGCCCACAGCAGAAACAGAAGCGACCTCTGCTCACAGAAGGAGCAGATGGAGGCTCCATGGCAGAGGGGAGTAGGACAGGAGGCAAGGTGCCGTTTGTCGAAGTCTTTGTAGTGAAACCCTAAATGGGCCTGCGAGATATTTAACTCCCAGTGGCTACCTTTCTTCCTTCCCAACACTCCAGCGTGACCTCAGCTCTAAGGTTAGTAAGGCAGTTTTACATAATACTGCTCACACAGAGAACTGTGGCATGGGGGAAAAACAGCTTTGAGCATTTCTGTGTAACAGTCACAAACCCAGGGGCTTCAAACAATTCTCCAAAATATCTGCAAGATAAACTAAATCAACATTCAACGTATACTATTATAACAAGCACATTAACTTTTACGAGACCAGCGCTCTAACCTCTGAGCTACGGAGCCAGCACATTAACTTTTAATAGGTAAAAATTTTATGTGCCATTTCTATATTTGGTTATTCATGGGACAGTCTTAGCTAACCAGTATGGACAGTATTGTATGCTCACTGCCTATAGCTCAGAGCACGCTTTTGACTACCTTCTAAGTGACTGGGAAGGTTAGCTTATCTTTGCTTTGTAACCTATTTTTTTTTTTCTGGTACCAGGAATCGAACTCATGACCTTGCGCTCGCCAGGCAGGTGCTGTGCCACTGAGCTAAATCCCCAGCCCTGTAACATATTTTTAATTCATTAGAAAGTCAAGAAAGCACTACCGTTCTATAAGCAAACACACTTCGGCCCAACCAGAGGGCTGAGACGGTAACAGAAAAGGGCTCTTTATGTAGGAAATAGGGTTCTAAGTGTCTTAAATGCCTTCACTTAGTCAAAGGTCAAAATCCCATGAGGCAGATGCTATCATTGCGCTGACCGTGCAGACAGAAGAGGGCACGTGACCACGGCCGCGCTGTTCCCACCCTGCAGAGCTGGACCAGCCTGCAGCGTTTCTGGCTCCTGCGTCGCTCCTCACCGTGCTGCAGCCCTGCCTGTGTCCTGCACTGCGCCCCTTTGTTCCCTGGAGGTCAATACTTACTCCACGCGTGCATGGCACTCTTCTACCCAGCTGTGGCTTTCTAATTCTCTTATTTGTTCTTCCTAGTATTTTATTAACAAGTGATACTAGATTTATAATCTGCAGCTGTCACTAAGAACCTAGCTATTAGAGTGTGTGACAGAGGAAACGATACCCTAAATTACATGCGGAAAGATGGTCATGAAGTCATTTTAAAGAGGGACAAATACATGCCAGGCATGGTGGTATACACCTGTAATCTCAGCAGATGGGAGGCTGAGGCAGAAGGATCACTGTGAGTTCAGGGCCAGCCTGAGTTACACAGTGAACTTGAGGCCAGCTTGAACTGCACAGTGAGACCCCGTCTCAAAAAACAAAAAACATGAAGAAGAAAAAAAAGAGGGATAAATAAAATTAACAAAGCAAGAAATAATGAATAAATATTTTAAAATGAACTCTGAAGACCTGTAAATTATACCCATCAACGTACCTTATATTCATTTTTATCTTGAAGATCTGAAGTAAATAACCTGATTTTCAGATCAGAAGCTGATGTACAAAATCTGGAAGCAAAAAACCCAAAACAAACTTATTATCATCTCCTCAATCACCAAAGTGTCAGTCTGATGCTAAGCCAGTGCCTGAGCGCCAGGTGCTGCCCCACTTTCCCTGGAACTTCTGCTCTGAAGTGGGTTTAAGTCATTCTTTGCCTAAACTTCAGAACTGACATGAGGCCAGCGATTCACTCTCCAAACCCCACGAGAGCAAAGCCAGCAGCAACGTGAGGACCAGGCCGGAGGAAGAGTGAAGCAAAAGGCAAGCACACGCTGAGGGCAGGAGCAGGGGAGGCCTCCTCCTTCCCTATGAAGCCGACGGCCAGCGAGGGCGCAGACGCTCAGTTAGCCCTCGGCCTTCTCACTCCCACTGCAGTCATGAAGAAAACACTTGTTTATTTGGAATACTATGGAGGAAATACAAAGCGAGAAAAGGTGTGTATCAGCTGAATCCCAATTATGTAGACTTATGCGTAAACAATGAAAAGAGTACTGAATGTGTAAGTGAATTTTTCCTTTTGTATTTGTTTTTCTAAATTTTATGTAAGCTTGTGTTATTTTTAGAATAAAAATATATAACTTATTTGAAAACAACAAAATTACACTATCAGCTTATTCTAAAAATACAGTCCTTTGGATGGAACCCAGGGCCTTGTATATGCTAGGCAAGCACTCTACTAGTGAGCTACATCCACAACCCCTTGTCTTTAAAATTAATGGCTGGTTAACATTTTCTGAATTTATTACTTATATTAGCATAGTTCCAAGAAGGATCTGAGGCAGCTTCTTAAAAAACCATGAGGCAAACAAAAAATTCCCAAATGATATACTGCAGCAAATGCAATAAAAAGAGGTCAGGAAAACAAGCACTAGGCAATGAGGGAAGTACGTGTAGGACATACCAACAGAATATCTAGGTTAAAGCAGCATCACAAAACTTAATTCAAAATCCAGGGAAGCCAGCTGTGGGAAGCCAAGAGTGCACACTTACAATCCTAGCACTCTGGGAGGCTGAGGCAGGAGAAGCTCAAGTTTGAGCCCAGATGGGATAGCTTAGAGGGAATCTTTCAGAATAAAAAATAAAAAGAGCTGGGCGGGGTGGTGCATGCCTATAATTCCAGCACTCAGGAGGCTGAGGCAGGAGGATGGTCATGAGTTGAGGCCAGCCTGGGCTACATAAGCAAGTTCAAGGTCAGCCTGTACTATAGAGTGAGACCCTATCTCAAAAAACAAACAAACAAACAAACAAACAACAACAACTGGGAAAAGTGTTTCTATCTCTTTTGAAATTGGCTAAAAAATGCAAAGAGAATTAGAGTTGTTCTTGTTTATTTCCAGGTACTGTGAACATTTCCTTATAATACAAAGGGAAACGAATGCCCCAGCAGCTGTTGGCAATGACACATGTATGCTGACAAAAGCTGTTGCATTGATTATCCAAAATTAGCAGAACCTGTGTAAGCCTCTAAAGGAAAAAAAGAACACCTTCACAGCTTTGTTGTAGACAAGACTTCTTATAAGGAAACGATCTCAAAGAGAAAATGCTTAGAGGCTAAAATTTAAAAAGTTGGCAGTAATAAATGTTGGAGAGTCAGTAGAGCAACCGAAACAGCCGTGTATGACTGCTGGGAACACAAAACAGTGAAATCACTTCAGAAACTGGTCCCTCTCTCCGCCCTGGCTTCCTGTTTTTGCAGTACGTACTGGGAATCACACCCAGGGCCTAGCTCCCTTGGCCAGCGCTCCATCAGGAGCAGCGCGGCCGCCTATCACCAAGGGCTGGTCAGAGGCATGCTCTCAGCAGCCTGGCCCGATCTACATACTGGGACTGTCCTAGCAGCCGCTCACAGGACAGGGCAGATGAGCTGTGGGGCAGGCACACAGCATAATGGAGTACTACTCAAACATAAAAAGAAACAAAGCACAGCTATGTAACCTAACACAGATCTTACAAACATTACGTCAGATCCTCCCCCCACAGAAGACCCACATTCTGTATGATCCCACTTTTATGAAGTTCTACAATATGCAAAACCAATTTCTGATGAGAGGTATCAGATCAGTGGCTTTTTGGCATGGAATGGGGTTCAGGGGTCAGTGCTGAAGGAATATGTAGAAACCCCACAGTGACAGGCTGTGGGTGCATTACTAGGGAGTGAGGTGATAAAAGTACACGCACTTGTCAAAACTTCTTACCACACCATTTAAGAGCTGAGAATTCAGTGTGAGCTGTACTTTAATTAGAAAATTATCTCAGTACTAGCTGGCTGTCTACTAAATGAAGATTTATCTTTTAGATTTGACAGTTTTGGAAACAAGATCTGTAACAAACCTTAAATGACCTAATACATTCTTGCACTTGTGAAGTCTCAGCAGCCGTCAAGATTTTTCTGAAAAAGCAATCATTTTAAATGCTTTCCCACACTGAAGCCCAAAGACTAGAACTAGAGTTTGTGCTGTGAAACACGAAAATGGAAACCTGACGTATGCATGGAGCAGGAAGGGGCAATAATGTCCCCCAAAAATGTAGCTCTTTTAACAGAGTTGTATTTTCAATAATTAAGGTGGCAAAGTCGGTAAAGAACCTGTAAAGACTGACTGATTCAGATGAATCTCAGGTAGAGTTGTGCAGTCTGGACTAAAAACACAGGCAAGGCATCACTTCAGCTGCACACTGACGTCACCAATAAAGATGTATTAAATATGCGCAGAATGTATATTTATTCTGTGTATAGCTATATACAAATATATATCATATATAAATATATATTTTTATATATACTATATATACTATATAAACAATATAAAGTAACTTAATATAAATATATACAATATATTATTTATATGTACTATATATAAACATACATACAATATATATATTTTATATATACTATACATATTACATATAAATATAAATACTTATATTTGTTGTGTAGCCAATACATCTAGAGTATCAAACATAGCAATGTCACCTGTCTAATCACCTGTACTTGTGGAAGATGGGCATGGAAGAAAAGTGTCTATGATCACATCTGGGATCATTCGACACAAAGAACACTGGTAAATACTGCATTTTAAACTTCTACTTGACGAGGGCGGGGGACACAGCTCAGCAGCAAGCGCCTGCCTGGCAAGTGTGAGGTCCCCAGTTTAACTCCCAGTACATGCACACGTACACACACACAACTTACTTGAGGACAGGCGGCAACGAATCAAGTCTAGTCTCCGGGCTCCAAGCTATGCCGTCGACCCTCACTCCATGGTGAAATGTTCGCAGTGTTTTATACTGAATGCCTTCAACATCTGCTTCTTCTTCCTATGCATACACAGCATATGCTGCTTTAGGGAGTCATGAGGACAGTGTATTACTCTGACTTACAGTATAATGAAGAAGTTACCAGGAAGTCATGTACCTCTACACGTTTTTGATGAGGTCAAAAGCAAACCAGAATTTAAAAAAAAAAAAAAGAAAAGAAAAAGAAATACAAGGTTGTATAACTTCCACAAAATAAATCTCTAGGATAGTTGAATCTGAACAGTACATAGACATTTTACTTTTTTTTTTTTTGGCTTTCTGAGACAGGGTCTCGCTATGCAGTTCAGGCTGGCCTTGAGCTCACTGTGTAGCTCAGGCTGGTCTCGAACTCGTGACGATCCTCCTGCCCCAGCCTCCCGAGTGCTGGGATTACAGGCGTGCACCACTATGCCCGGCATGAGACATTTTACTTCTAATAGTAAACACATTTCACAACAAATTGAAGAAGTATGGGAGGTTGCATTTAACATGTTACAAGTAACTCGTCTATGCTATTATAATCCATGAATAGTGCCTGTGCAAATTAATTTGGTCTTGGAAATTTTATTCTGTGTATAGCTGCTTAATAAAGTCAGCATATTTACCTAGTTCTGTCCTAATAAAGACGATTTCTGTTAATCCTCATAAAAAGGTAAGGAAAAAACGTAAAAGTCAAGACATTTATTTCTGGCAATGTAGACAATAATTGAAGCAGCTCTCCTATTATGACAACAATGCAAAGATCCAGATCCAGAGAAGCTGCTGAGCACCCGGGTGTGCAACCACTCCGCAGGCACTGGCCCACACCCAGGGACGCGGGCCAAAGCTCAGGACCTGCACAGGGGAGGAGACCTTACTAGAGACCTTGATCCATCTGGGCCCTTCAGGGGGACGTGTGTGTAGGGGGGATGCCTGTGCACAACACCTGCAGCAGGTAAGGGCCAGGGCCAAGGAAAAGCAGCTGTGCAAAGTCTCGACCATTTGCTGGACCTAGCATGAGCATGGGGCTGAGCTCACGTTAACTACACGGTTCAGACAAAAGTGGTGACATGCTGGTAAGGGCTTCAAGCACCTGACAGAAAGACAATACGCCTCTGGGTGAACTACCCCGACCGGGCAGCACAAATCCCCACAGATACAGTGAGTACCACGAACCAAAACAATACAGCAGCAGAATCAGACCAACGAAGACATCAGATTTCAAGAGTTATTAGATATATATAAAATGATACACGTTCAGGGGCATAAAAGAGGCAACTAAAAATTATCAACAGGCATTAAGAGATTACTAAGAACAACTAGGGAAATTTTAAAAGAACTATAATCAAATCAGCACAACACTAGCATAAAAAGACACACTGCCTAAGAGAAAAAATTAAAACATCCAGAAATAAACCCATGCATTTAGACAAACTGATTTTTGATAAAGGACCCAAGAACACCCATGGGGAAGGAGCCGTCTTTTCAATAAATGGAGCTGGGAAAACTGGATATCCACATGTGCAAGCATGAAACCCAATCTCTACCTCACGCCACATATAAACATAGTGGGTTAAAACAAAAAGAAAAATGAGAGAGAAGAAAAATATTGGACAGCAATAAATCTGGAGCAGTGACAGCTGAAATGGGAGAGGTCCCTATCTCCTGCATGAAGACAGTAAAGATACTAGCTTTGATGCTAATGAAATGTAGATGTCCAAATGTCTTTGGTAACCATTAAAAAATAAGAAATAGCACATAAATTTTTCAAACAAAGAGGAAAAAAATTAAAGGAAGTACAGAATCTTTAGCTTAAAATATGGTAAGAACATGCATATCAACAATGTTTTTAACGCTGGAAAACTTGAGAATAACCCAAATACCTAATACACGAATGGATAAATGGTGATACAGTCCTATTACACCACACAGCGGTCCAACAGGTAGGAATCTAACAGTATACCATTAAGCAATAGTACAAAGTGTAGAAGAGCATAATAAAGAATGGTATCACTGATGTAAATTTTAAAACACCAAAAACCACACAGTATTTGGTCTGGACCCCCTACACATAACCGTAATGCTATAAAGAGACACAAACACAGAATTTCTTTCATGACTACTTCTGAGGGGTGCGACAGGGAGTAAGGGAGGATTCCCAGGGGTATAAAAAGAATCCCTAACATCTTACTTCTTAGACAAGGTGGTAGAAATACGGGAATTCAGTCTATCATTTTTCACATCTCATGCATAGCTTTCCCAACGTACTATACTTAAGACACGCTTTGAAATGAAATTTCAGGTGCATTTAGACCGAACAGCAAAAAATTTTTCCATCAATGAAATGAAACAGAAATATACTTATCAAGGAAAGAAAAACACTGCCAAATTTTACTACTTCCTAATTCGTGTGGTTCACAAACTTAATTTGTTTTACGACTTGGGGGAAGATGGCTGTTTGTTTGTGTGGGGAAGCTGGCCATGGTTGTTTGTCACCTGATGTGGAGTTAGCGAACACAAGCAAAATTCTGTGAATGCTTTTGTTTGTCCACAAAAGCATTCGTGAACTGAGGCATCACTGGGGCTGGATACATAAATGCAGCAGCCATTAAGCCATTTTAGAACAAACTTCAGAGGCTCCAAGAACAGCTGACTGGACAGTCTGGGTTACAGCTATTTTCCACACAAATTGATCTTCTAAAAATGGAGTTTTTACATAAAAAGACACACTCTTATGCTACTGTAACCATAGAGGCAAGAATTAGCTCCTGTATTTGTCACTCAAATCATACAGGGAATTCTTTATTGGGAGCTCACAGGGATAACAAAATCCCATGGACTGTACAGCCTGAGCTATGTGTGCTACTGGTGAAAACTTTTCTTTCCTGGCAGTGCTGCGTGCCACTGGGCCAAGGAAAAGGGCAGTGTGTGTGACTGCTATTTGGGATTTAGAAGGGAGGCCATGAAGTATTGTATAGGCAGGAAATGAAGAGCCTTTGGAAAACCCCCTTACGCCAGGCTCCTGCAGTGGGTGGCTGGGGCATAGCCTGCTGATGGAAGGCCTATTCTAAGGGTTCCAACTGGCCCCTCCCACCACACCCACTTAAGGCCAAAGGCAGAATTTCAATCAGACAGACAGAGGTTTATCTAGTTCAACTCTTTCATCCCAGGCTTCCACTTCTAGTTGAATACCTGAAAAAAGATCGCTCAACCCTTGGTCTCTTTGAGACAAGGTCTCACTATGCAGTTCAGGCTGACCTTGAGCTCACTTTGTAGCCCAGGCTGGTCTTGAACTCGCAATGATCCTCCTGCCTCAGCCTCCCAAGTGCTGGGATTACAGGCATGCGCCACCACACCCAGCTATCAACCCTTGGTCTTAATCATAGGACACTTTATGATCCTAATTTGCTAGTCCAGGGAAGTCAGGACAAGGGTCAAACGTAGGCTGGAAACTCCTCCCCCTACTAAAACAGACAGTGTGGGATTGCTTAAGAGCTCACCTTTACTCAGGCCAACAATTGAAACTTTTCACTCATATTTCTCTTTACGATAAATATGAATACATACCAATTTTGTGTAGACTTATATGTAGTGTACTCTAAAATGCTAACTGGCATTCTCATGTCAAGATAACCTCCCTGTTTTTCTTCTTTTTGAGACAAGGTTTCACTATGCAGTTCAGGCTGACCTTGAACTTACAGTGATCCTCCTACCCCAGCCTCCTAAGTGCTGGGATTACAGGGGTGCACCATCATGCCCAGCCAATACTACTACCTCCTAAGTAAGAAAGCAAATCATGTCTCCAGTAATATATCACTTTAATTCAGCAATAGTTACTTTAAATCTTTAAAAACTGGTCACTGGTAAATTATATCAATTAATTATAATTTGCGAAATATGGTTGCACGATTGATATTCAGGTATAAAAGGATTAACAGGAGATTCAAGAGGGTCAAAGCATCATTGTTCGGTCTCTCACAAGCAGGCTGGCTTTCCTGTGAGAAAACACAGCGCGTGCTCCCAAGGGGCCATGACTGCCGCTTGGGCCCGTGCCAGGGACAACTAAAATGTACTACGATTACAATGTGCCAGAAGGCCCTTACAAAGGCCTTCTAGGGCCTTACATATACTGACTCAACACATCCTTACCAAACCCTAGTGATTGTGACTTTTTTGTATTTACAGAAGGAAGGCTAAGTATCGGCTCAAGGGGGTGTGGTTATTAGGAGGTATGGCCACGCAGAAGTTAAACCCCCATGCATTCTGTCTCTGGAATTCAAGGGCAGTACTGAACTTCCCGCCCAGCTTAGATGAGCCCGGGTTGTTTACCCTAGATATGTACTTTAAATGTATAAAAGGGGTGATAGCAAATCAATAGGAAAGTTGAGTATCCTTAAAGCTGAAATGCTCCCGAAGATCATTTTAGTGTCTCAGTAGTATCTGCTTGCTATGCCAAAGCAGAAACATTATAATTAACTGGATCTAATTTAATTGGTATTTTCTCTGTGCATACCGATGCTCAGTTACTCATAGCCTTTAATTACCAGAATATTCCTTTTTTTTTTTGTTTTTGGTGCCAGGAATCAAACTCAGGACCTTGTGCTTGCCAGGCAGGCGCTTGTGTCACTGAGCTGTATCCCTGGCCCTCCTTTTCTAATCATGAAGCAAAAGAGCATTTTCACCATCTATGTTCTATGTGCACAAATCTCAAAGGACTGTTACTGGGTATATCCTCCTCTGGGTCTTCATGTAATTTTTTTTTTTAACAGTCAAACTCAGTATTTTCAAATTTAACTTTGGGTTGTATAAATTTTCGTATCAGTGAAAATGACCTTCACTGTCATCCACTGCAGTCTACAGACTAACCTGAAATGTGCATATGCCAATCACCACATAATTATTGCCACCATATGCAATCAGATTTCCTGAATCCCCACTCTCAAAGGGATTAAATTCTACCACATGCACAAAATCTTCACAGTCCACAGTGTAGGCAGGATTCCTTATGGCGTCTTGCTTCATTTTGTATTCAAACTTGAGCAGTTCTAAGAATAAGTCTTCCACTGGACCACTTCAAGAAACTGTGGATTACAACAGATACAATAAAAAATGGGCAGCATTAGGCATCTCACAAATGGATCAAAATAAATGCAGGTATAACAACGTTCCAGAAAGTTCAAAATAAATACCTCAAGTATCTATGAAGGGACAGAAGCTGCAGGAGAAAAATTCAATGTAATTATTAATAATTCCGTACTTGCCCCATGGCTTTCCACATTTCCACACTGGAGAGACCCACAGACATAATACCTTAGAATTCTGCTTCGATTAGCTAGAATATTGTCAGCCCTTCAAGAAGGCTCATCTCAATAGAAGATACCTTCACAAAATTAGTAACAGTTAATATTTACGGAGCACTATGTCTATATACTGTTAGGCCGTTTACTGATACTGTCACATTCATGATTCACAAAACTGTAAATGCAGGTGCTACCTATGGTCTCCTTTCTATAAATGAAGAAATCGAGGCCTTAGGGAGTTCATTTTCCAGACTCATAAGCAATGTCAAGATCTCAAAGACTGTTATGTGTTAGGCACCAGCCTCCTGCCTTAAAAGAGATCACAATCAGGGAGGTTTTGCCTCCGTGTGAAAAGTGCTACAACACAAGCAGATACAAAACACAGGGTCTTGCCAGGAGCGTTGGCGCACGCCTGTGATCCCAGCACTCGGGAGGCTGAGGCTGGAGGATGCCGGCCTGGACTACACAGGGAGTTCAAGACCCGCCTGAAACGCACGGCGAAACCCCGTGTCAAAACTAACACCCCAAGATACACGATCTGGAGGAAAGAATACTAAAACAGGTTATCTAGAAATAATATTCACAAAACCAGGCACAAAACCTGCACTGCCACGGCCTGGAAGCAGCATTCCCACACGAGAATTACACACTTTCTTAATTTTTGTCATCATCAGCTAGACGCAGGAGTTGTCCTGAAAGCTGGCGGGCTCCGTGGCAAACGCAAGTGGCGCCTTCCCGCAGATCAGACGCGTCCCAGGGAAGGGGGCCTCTTAACCGCGGACCCTAGGAACGCTCCAGCCGAGCGGCGGGCGCAGCGCAGGGGACCCGCGGCGGGGCCCGCCCTCCCCGTCTCCGCCCGCGCGCAGCCGGCTCGCCCCTCTACACCTTCCGGAGCGGGAGAGCTGGGTCCCCGAAACCGGCCAGACGCGCCTCGAGACCACCCGCTCCCGCGGCCCTCGGCCCCCCGCTGAACCGCCGCCTCCCGCGGACGGGGCGCAGCTCCCGGCGCAGTACGAACCCGAGGCTGCGGGGCAGCGGCCGCCGCGAGGACTCCACACGAGGCGCCGGGCGCGCGCCGGCTCTACTTCCGGGTTGAAGGGCGCGCGCGGCGATTGGCTCCCGCGGCTCAGCGCGAGGTTTGAAATGTGCTCCGCGGTCACTCGAGCGGCCGTGGAGCAGCTGCGCGGCCGGGCCTCTGCGCGCCGGACTCTGCGCCTCGCGGGTCTCCCCTCAGCCAGGTGGGGCGTTGTTCCTCGTCTCCAGCCTGTCGCACTGTGAGTGTCGATCCGGGCTGGGGCTTGTGAGGGCGTGCCGGGGGCAGCGCAGGGTGCTGGGCGAACGTCCGGGGTGTTGCTGGTGCCGTGGCTCGGCGCCGCAGCCGCTGTGGGTCGGGGGCGTGGGGCAGCGCGCAGCGCGTGCACGAGGCTGGCCGGCCCCAGGGTCGTCTGCAGATCGAGGACTGCGGTCCACGGAGCCTGCTGGACGTGCCCGAGACAGGCAGGACCCCGGGCTGACCCGAGCTGCGTGGACCCCAACCCGGCAGCTTCTCCTCTTTAGTGTGTCCACTAAGGGACCCTTGGGACCTGCACTTGTCAGGTCAGCATCGGTTGCCACTGACAGCACTGACAGCATCGGTTGCCACTTTTAACTGAGCGCCTACTAAGTGCCCCTCGCCAGGCGAGTTGTATACTTGTTTCACTAACGTCTCATTGTCCTTCTTTTTTAGTTATTTTTTATTAGTCCGTATTTGAAGTACATCATGATGACGTTCCTCGCGGGGAGTTGATCCACGTACATAACGCATCTCAATTCTATTTTCCTCCCTCATTTCCCTCTCCCCTCTTTCCATCCCTTGGTCACCTTTCCTTTTGCAAAAATCATCGCTGTTAGGGCCGGGGATATAGCTCAGCGGCACAAGTTGCCTGCCTGGCAAGCGCAAGGTCCTGTGTTCGATTCCTGGTACCAAAAAAGAAAAAAAAGAAATTAGATAATTTCTGCAGGTGAGGAAATGTATGCTCATCAGAGGTTTTAAATGCCAAAGAACTTGCAGCTGGCAGTGCATATGAATCCTGATCTGACTCAAAAGTGTTCTTTCAGTCTTCTAGCGTTTCCGTCCAGTGACAGTTTTCTGTTTGACATTCTTTGCACCGGTGTAACTTCTGTGTTTCCAATTTTTGGCCCCAACCTGGCTCCTTTTCCCTCTTGGAATTGTGGAACCAGTGACAAGACTGGACGAGGTTGAGTCATGTTTTATTTGTGGCCAGAAATAAGAAAAGTAGGACATAAAGTCAGATCAACTTCGTGACCCTTGGGGATGAGCAGGTTATAGATACAGGGTACAAGAAGGGAGGAAGGGGGGAACCTATAAAGGAGAGGAATTTTCGTACCTTTCCTAGGGATGGCCTGCGGTTTTCTGGAGAATGAGTGCCTGTCATTTCACTCCTTTTATGGGTCTTCCCTGCTGTCGTGGGAGTTGTCCCCCGTCCAGGCATTGGGGGGTGTGTTGTTTAGCTGGTGGATGGAATTACAGTGTCCTTAGAGGTGTCTGGTGGTTACTCTGACAGCTTAGATTCAGCTAGCTTCAGCCAGCTCAGGTGAAGAGGGAGTCTGGCCTAGTCATTTTTTGTTCAAGATAAACAAGAAAAGGGCGGGGCAGGAATTCAGCTACCCCACTTGGGCAGTGCCAGGTTAAAAAGCTTGGCATCCAGTTTTGAAAAGCAAGTGTTTATTACTGTTTCTGCCTTCGATGGCTGTTTTTTGTCCAGCATAACCTGCCATTCAGAGTGCCTGCCCTTCACGGTCGCCTGGAGACCTCAGAGCTGTCTGACAGGTAAGTAGAGGGGAGGGATAACTTCCTGTTTTCTCTGTGATGTCTGTGTCCCTGGGCAGCCAGGTGTAAACCTTATGATTCACATGACCACTGCAAGAGAAACTGGGAGAACTGGGACGGGGCCAGAGGTTTGTAGACCACCTGCACTCCTGGATCTCGGGCAGCCAGCTCCTGAGCCCAGAATGGGTTTTACTCGCTGCACAAAGAACTGGGGAAGAAATGAAAGAAGAATATTTTTATGACATATGGAAATGATACGAAATATAAATTGTGGTGTCCACAAGTAAAGTTTTATGGAAGTACAGCTATCTGTGCTCATTTATGTATTGTGCCCAGCTATTGTTACTCTGCAAGGTCAAGTTGAGTAGTTACGACACAGATTACATGGCCCACACGTCTTAAGTAATTGCCATTTGTCCCTTTCCCAAATGTTTGCTGAGCCCTAGAGAAGACGCTTGCTTTTCTGTCTCTGATAGTAGATTCTTTGTACTGGTCACTTTCCTATGGATGGGACCCACAACTTAAAGGTGGGAGGTTTAATGTGGTCATGTTTCAGGGAATTCAGGCCATGGCCGGTTGCCTCCAAGGCAGACACGGCATGGCGGAGGGGATGGCTGAGGGAAGCTGCTCACCCTCTGGCAGCCAGGAAGCAGAGAGAGGGAAAGGAGGAGCCAGGGAGTGAGATTAACCCTCGCAAGGCACAGCCGGAGTGACACACTGCTTCCATTCGGGTCCCAACTCCTAACAGCGCTTAGCTATGAGGTCATCAGTAGACAGGAATAGCCCACTGATGAGTTTAGCGCCCCTAGCATCCAGCCACCTCCAGAGGACTCACTTCTGAATAGGAGACTTGGAGACATTTTAGATGTGAACCATAACACACACTCAATTTTAACTCAAAACGCAAGGGGTGGTAATAGCTAATATGCTCGGTCATGTACTAGGTGCGGCTCTAAAACCTTCACTCATGTTTCTGTCATTTGCTCTTCCCAAAGACTGTGACATAGGAACTATTGTTATTTTCCATACAAGAAAGCTGAGAAAGAGGCAGATGATATAACTTTGCCAAGATTTCATAGCTGTAAGTTGTGGAGCCAGAGTTCAAAATGATTAATTCTAGATGAGCTTTCATTTATAGCCGTCTAAACTCTTAACACCTTCAAATAATACCAGGAAGTAATCTGCTGCAAATGTATTTTAGGCAAACTGATTTATCACTGAAGCTGATGCTTTATTTACTTCTTTACTTCTTTTTTTTCCTTTTGAGAAATGAAGGTAATATAGTGAAAAGAAACATAGCACTTAGCTGGTTAGGAGAATTGCTGTTTATGGTTTTCTACCTGTACCCTTAAGGTGTGTCACAGGTTATGTCCATGATATATTATTGTAAATGGCATATGTCCTTCTTGAACAAACCCAAGATGCCTAGTACACATCTGGGATTCTGTTCATGCTATATCAAAACAAAAGAAAAGGATAACAAAAGCGGTGATGTGTATGGAAAACATCACATGGATATATGACTATGTTGGAGACTGTAATAGTTAAAGTAGGTAAAAATTTTTACCAGGGATGTTTATAAAATCAGTAAAAGGAATGGCCACTTTCTATGTACTTGGTATAAAAATGTTCACATTGTTGGGTATGGTAATGTAAGCCTGTAATCCCAGCACTCAGGAGGCTGAGGCAGGAGGATTACTGTGAGTTCGAGGCCAGCCTGAACTACACAGCCACCTTACTAAAACAAAAAAAAGTTGATACTACTTCAAATTATCTTGAAAAGGCTTTTGTCTGTATTAGAAGTTATGAAATAGAGTGATCTTTGAGTCCATCTTACGAGCTTAGAAATCTTAGGTTAATCTTTGGTCATGTGTTAGTGGAATGACATAGGGTATTACTTTCTTTAGGTGCAAGATAAGGAGAGTGTTAGATCTGCCTCAGTAGGATGGTTCTTTTGTTTATGTTTTATTTTATTTTATTTTTTATTTTTTATTTTTTGAGACAAGGTCTTGATATGTAGTTCAGACTGGTCTTGAACTCAACTATGTAGCCCAGGCTGGCCTCAATCCTCCTGCCTCAGCCTTCTAAGTCTGAGATTACAGCTATGCGCCACAATGCCTGGCTATTTTGTTTCCTTTTTGTTGTGTAATGAACCACTTCAAAGCCTAGTAACTATTAAATAGTAACCAGTTTATTTGCTTATGATTCTGTAGGTCAGGAACTGGGGCTGGACTCAGCTAGCTGATTCCGCGGGTCCTGCCTGGGCTCACTCACACTGCAGAAATTCACCTGGCAGGTTGAGCGGGGCTGGATGGCAAGGTGGTCTTCGCACGGGTCTGGGGTTGGTGTGGGTTGCCATCTGAGTGCCCTGGTTGTCTTTCAAGATCCTGCCCAGCAGGGCGGCTTGGGCTTCCTCCTGTAACAGCCTCAAAGCAGCAAGAATTAGAGCCAATGCTTTAGGGCCTTGGGTTTGTAGGCGCCCAGATCACCCCAGATTATAGGATCTGCTAGGAGGACTGAGAGGTGTATTACAGCAAAAGGGCACAGCAACATAAGCAAAGGGAAAAGCCTATGGGCACCTGGATCGTGCTTCTCGTGGCCTTGTCCAGGTTGGGTCATGCGGGCCATGCTGAATTCTCCTAGAAACAGGTGTCACAACCCATGGGAAATGCCTTCCCCCAGGGGAGCTTCTGAGACTTAATGCCAGTGTTTCTATTGGAGGATGAACCCACAGGTCTGGTCTGCCTGGCATGTTCCAAAATTCCAGACTCAAAAAGAAATCGAAGGTCAAGAAGACTATATTGTTTGCACAAATAGTCCGACACTGTGAGCTACTCTTATTAGAACCTTCTGAGCTTTAAATTCAGGATGCTAGCTTGAAAGGATGGCTTCAAACTCTTCTGCACACATCTCCTAAGGGCTTGGTTCAGAATTCCCCGTTTGTCAATCTGCTCGCGTTCTATTGGTCGAATCGAGTCAGAAGACTGGCCTAGATTCAAAGGG